TCAAACGAGAAGATATGTTTAACTGAAAAACAAATGATCAACACCGAGCTACGAAATTAGTTGGATACAGTATCGCATAAGTATCTTGCTACCAGATACGTATCGCATACGCGTATTGTCGTGTGAAAGAGCTCTAAGTTTACATGCGGCTGCAGCCGAGCGCGAACATAGAAAGAGACAGAGAGAAGAAAGCGAGAGAGAGAGAGAGAGAGAGAGAGAGAGAGAGAGAGAGAGAGAGATCCAAGGCATGATGCTAGGAACCAAAACATATCGGGGGGTGCGAGACAATACTAATGTAACAATAAAACTTTTTTATTTATTATTTTTTTTAAATCTAACTTCTTCCAATGGATTTGTAAGATTTTTATGATTACAATGAGACCAAACACGATATACATACAGCGAAACAGGAAAGTATTCGACTATTTGTTTGTATTTTATATTTCATATTACCTCTTATATAAAAAATTTTTTTTTTTATAAATTATACAAGATGTTCGGCAACCGACCAAAATATAAAATAAGAATAAAAAAATGCACAGCAGTTTGGGATCGAACTAGCAATATCTTATGTACGATACTACGATCAGTGATACCAGCTGGGCCGGGTTTTTTCGCCCATATACTGGCAGAATGACTGTTAACAGTGTCGTATCCAGGGTAACAGGTGTGGGGTGCTATAGCTATTGTGGCTATGAGCGCGAAATCATAAATATATTTGTCCTTACTATTTATATATTGTCTATAATTATATATTGTGTTTATATATTGCCCTACATTTGTCCATCATGAATATATTTGTAAAATTATGCAGGGTTAATTAAGATACACCTTTTTAGTCGTGCGTATACTTCATTGATGCTATGTTCGCTGCGCGTGCGCAAAAAACCCAGCCGACTACGATACCTGCGAACCAAGTCGTAAAGCGTGTTTAGATGGTCGAACAGTAACAGAAAAGAAGACGACGACAGCGCTGCGTTGGAAAGCATGATATTGAGGCAGCCATGTTGGCATATGAATCGTCTCAATCGTAGCGACAACACCATTGTACTTTTATGAGGCGAGGAAGCAACATTTTTGGCTGATTTTTTTTTAAACTGTTCCTTGTAAAATGCTGCTGCAAGGGATAGTTAAAGATATTTGGAAAAAGACCCACAAAAAATGTCTTGTCTTTAAACGTATTTTTAGCACGTTTCAAAAGCGAATTTCAAAATGTGTAACTATCCCCCGCAGCGGAATTTTATATGGAACAGTTTAAAACAAAAATCAGCCGGAAAGGTCGCTTTCTCGCCTCATAAAATTACAATAACTATTTGGAAAATTACAAACGTTTGACATCATTCTGTCTTTGTCTCTCCTCCGATTGTTGTATCTCCCTCTCTGTCAAAGCATCATTGGAAAGACAAGGATCTATCTATCCCTGTCTCAGAGCTTCCTACTTTTTCCGCAACTGTCGCTGAAGTCAACTCGAAGTTTTGCTGGGTCTCCTGCGCACCCTTAAGGGTAAAAAATAAACAATAAAATGACGATAACAAACATACTTTTATTGTTTATAAACTTTTAAGGCTGAAATTGCAAAATCAGGCCTTGGAGTCGCATCCGCCAAAGTATAACGGATATATTAAAACCAGAATTATTACAAAATATTGCTTCTTTGCTTCAATATCTTCCAAAAAATCATGCTAGCCTAATCGCCCTGTCCTCGTCTCTCCTGCAATTGTTGTATCGCCCTCTCTGTCCTTGTCCCGGAGTTTCCTACTTTTTCCGGAACTGTCGTTGAAGTCAACTCGGAGTTTCGCTCTGGCTTCTGCGCACCCTTAAAACAATTTCATTTGCTCGCAAGAAGAAATTCATAAAATGTTAACCCGATAAAAAACTTCAAAAAAGTAAAAAAAATACGCCAAGTACATGAAAAAGTGGAGGAATCAAGGAGTTATTATTGAAAAATAGACGATCCCCATAAAAAAACTACAAGAAAGTAGAAAAAGATGTGAAATCGAAATGAACTAGTTGAAGCTATAGCTTCAAACTCTGGCTTTCAATAATGACGTAAAAGTACTTGAATCTCAAAATTTTCCGTGATTTTACTAAAATGATCAATTACTAATGTAACTAATAATTAAATATGAAAGAGCTTTTTAAAAGCTACAAAATGATATACATGTAACACTTCCATATAAAGTAATTTTAATGATTTCAACAAATTGCACAAATTGAAACAATGTAAAAAATGCAAAAACTTTTGGTTCATCCTAATACATATTAATAAAAATAAAATAAAATAAAGAATAATGTGTCTTTTAACATTTTTGAGTCCACCCTTTTCTTCAGTTTTAAGGTCCTTTTCGATGGTCATATTTGTTCTCAGTTCAGTTTTAGTTTCAGTCGAACTGTCAGTTTTTCTTATGTATAAACATATTATGTGACAACATAATGCCGTCGTTTTAGACGGTCATATCTGTTCTCAGTTCAGTTTCAGTTTCCGTTATCGTTTCATTTCAGTTCGGAAAACTTGGTCCTTTTACACGATCCGTTCAGTTCTCACTGTTCCCAGTCGTTTCAGTTCTTTGTAACCCAAATATAGCGACAGATCTATACAAGATCTACACAATCACATTAGTATTAGTAAAAAAAGTTCCAATCTCTCTTTTTTTATTTTAAATAATATGGCTATATAATTAGAATAAAAATTCAAGTAAAATAAGCCGTCCCTAATATACATATAACCTAACCTACGATTGTACGGAAATGGATACATAGCCTACATAGCTTTCACTATCGCATGTGTATCGAAGCTAGCGCTTTAATTTGGCTATTGATGCCATCTCATGTCGATTACCAGAATCTGAACTAAATTTGTTACATGACTTGCTCTGCAGTATCCAGAAATTTACCGGCAATGTCATCTGTGTAATTACTCGTGTCTATGGGATTATATTCAAACATAGCTACGCAAATATTTTTAAGGTAACAGAAAGTGCGATAAGGTTTTGACAATATCGCTATCTACCAGTAGGATTACTTGCTTAGATACCTGTGTAGTTAACTACGGTCGGTACAGTCGATTATACGATCACGTGATCGCAGAGGGCGTGTGACGCCATTTCTAACTATGCGAGTCTCGTTCAAATAGTTTTTCCTCAAACATTGTGTATTTCGCAGAAGGAAAGGCATTTTTAATCGTTTTGAAATCCAAAAGTAGCCGGAAAGTGAACAATACTTTTAGTAGACGAAATGTGAATGATCATCGTGGATGAAACCACATGATTCGGATCGAATCACGCATAAAAAGTTCCGTTTTGATCGGTAGCGTGTTCGATGCACGAAGAAAAGAACGAGATTTATTATTTATTAGATACACATTTTCACCCATAACAGAATTTTATTCGCGCAATAAAAACTTTTACATAATGTCGTATCACGTATTAATAGTTTCATTTATGTGTGTCGATCATTCAACGACGTGATATTCTCTTGTGTTATACTCAGTGTATGTAACGCATCATTTGCATAATGCATCATTTGTTTCTTGATTATAAGCTTGTAATTGCTTGCATGCCATACATGCTCACTGTAAAATGTACAGCTCGCAGCGATCGACCTTACAAGGGAAATTCGGCAATTGATACATGCCAAACATTCGAATTTATGCAGAAATAAAGTTTATGGAAACTTGATTACTGTACTCTTTTCCATTCTAACCCAAAAACGGTGTTAAGGATAGAAACACCACTTCGAAATAAGTCTGGTTATTTATATTCTTTCTAGTATCTCTGAAATCATAAAAGATTTATAAGAAATTGAAAGAAAACTTATATTTAGAAATATTTCCCTCTCCATAAACATTTCTACCAATAGCTGCACAAACATTGTGGACGTTTTCATACTATACAATTTTTGTCTAACCAATTTTGTTCCATTTATTATCAAATTCGAGTTATTGTGCAATATAGGTATGTTGACTTGTACTGTGTGCCCGATCGGCCGTAATTTTTGACCAAAATTTGAAAAAATCATAACTCTTGATTTTATGGTGTGAGAAATATCCATAAAAATAAATTTTGTTAACTTTTTACTACAGAATCATAAAATGTTAAAAACCATAAAATTTTATACTTAAAATTTTGTCTATATTTCTTATAGTTTCAGAGATATTAACAAAAGTATAAATAATCAGTATATTTCGATGGGACGTTTATATCCCTAAAACAATTTGTTAACCCAAAATGGAAAGGAGGACTGTGATTAAGCACCCATGTACTTCATTTCGGTAAAAATTCAAATTTTTCGACGTCTATTAATTACTGAACTTCCTTTGTTAATGCATAGAAATCGTGATCCTTTATGGACGCATGGATTAACGGGGTTAACAGGCACGCGCACGCCATTTTTGTTCATGATCAACGAAAGTAGATCACAAGAATAATCTACTAATTTCAACACAGTCACGTATATTTCTTTCGTATTTAACGGAAGACAATTACACATATTTTCGAGTGAATTTTTATTATGAATCACAGTGGAACCTCAGTTAATCGGAATTTTTCATTCGTAATTTTCCGTTTAACTGAGTTTCTATTTTCGAGTAAAGAATATAGACTGCATGAACGATACTATTTCTTAAAAGTGTAGCCATGGTTAAGGATTCAAGGAATAAGATTCTGGACACACAAAGGTTTATTGCGAGGAATATGGTTATACAGAGGATTAGGAATGGATAATTGTAACAGGAATTCAGAATGAACGGAATTATACTAAAGAACATAATACAATTCTTCATTTTACAATATTTTACAATTTTCAATCTTTGAAATGGCAGAATCATTCTGTACTCTCCCATTCGACAGGCGTCCAGGTATTATCGCCAAACTTTCCTTGTCGAATAGGGCCTATTTAATAGGCGACCAGGAACATACTCCTGTCCTCTCCCTTTTCCAGCAGACGTCCAGAAATTATCGCCGAACTGTCCTGCCAGAGTCCCTAAGCCGAATTCCGAGAGCGGCCGATGGTCTTACCTCGTCCTCTTTCCCGGAATGGCAAATAGGCCGAATGCCTCTACGAGCCTTCAATTTATATCGCACGGTTGCTATCCGCGGCCGCGGTTCTCAACAGTCGCGTCGTTAGGCGAGAAGGTTCGCGAGTTCGCGGTCCGCGCTTCGCGTCTCACACCGAGCGGTGGCCACCCTCCTATGTTCTAGAAGTTTCGTACGGTCGCTTTTCGTATTTCTTGAATTTCGTATGCTACAAAAGAAGGATTATATTTTTAAAAAGTAATATTCCGAAGTAATACAGTCAACCTTCTTTAAATGTCGCGATGGTTCCCTTTGTAATTGTCGTCCAATTATTCTCACCGTATCGTGGATCTGTTAGCGCGTCGTTCCATATTTATAAGGAAGTCGATATAGAATAATAGAAATCGACCCTTTCAAAGAACTTGGCATACCAGAGACAAGTAAATAGCGATTAAATTTCGCCTATCTCTCTGTCTTGGCGTTGCCACTCGTATTTACTCAAGTCGGCAGTTACAATTAGACAGGATCGATTCTTTTATACAATTGATGGACTTATTAATAGTAACTGAAACGACAAAATATTATTAATACTCACCAAGTAGCATCAACATTAATCATTCTTGAGGGACTCTACTTATAGTCGTTATAAAAAGTATATCTAATACTACAGTGTAATGCTTTCGGACAAATGTTTGTTCAGGATTGTAAGATTATTTGTTATTGTAAATTTTAATGAGCAATAGATACATAAATCCATGTTAAGAAGTATGGACATTGGTGTTCTAGTCAACAGTCTTTAAATAAACTTTGAATAGATTTCGCATTGTTTTATATTTTCGTGGTACGGGAGTACTAAAAAATATACTCGTCTTTCGGGAATAAGGTTGTCGAACAAGTATAAGACGACTGGAATAAAGTTAAAATTTACTGCTAGTTGAATAATTAGAAGCGATGCTGTACATGGTGTAAAACGAATATTCGCCATGGATCTTAAACATGAATCTCGGCGTCTCGATCGTGGGAAAGTTTTTATATATCAAGGTCACGAAATTAAGTTTCTATTTTTACATATTCTATTCGAATAAACATTCATATCGCGTTTATTCGAATAGAATATGTAAAAATAGAAATTTAATTTCGTAACCTTGATAATTTAACAAATTTAATGATAATCAATATGAACAAAATACAAAAATAAAAAGAATTTTTTTGTATTTTGTTCATATTAATTATCATTACATCTGTTTAAATTATTTTGTTATTCCTGTAAAATTTTTTAGTGAAACTTCAAGAGTTGTTTATCTTATTTATATAAAATCATGTTTTTTTTTTGAAGTTGCATTTGCAGTTACAGTTTAAAAATGCATACTTGTAACGATAGAATCTAAAGAGTTTAACTTTATTTTAATTTAACTGTTAAGATCAGGAGAATCCGCCACTCATGAAAGTAGAATATTCCGTATATAAAAAAGTAATACTTTTAATGCGCTCACGAAGCTTTTATATTAGACATTTGGTATCGATAGAAAAATTACCCAAATGCCAGCATTTCTGTTGACTCTAGAGATAGTGTTCTTCCTTAAACGCAATATGGGATGTGGAGTTTTCGTTTGTTGACAACATTAACGTTTCCAGTAACAGAAGAAAAAGTGGGGTAAGCACTCCACTTCAAAACTTTAATCGTTTGTGAAAAAAACGGCTAGTTTGGAACACACTGTGCCTCTTAAGCTTTACCTTCATTTACGAATAGAATGTACAGGAATAGAAAAAGAATTTTGTGACTGGTTTTTTACTGGCTTTCCATTGATTTAGGTACATAGATTCATCTCTGAAAGCTGTGACGAATATTTTTCGGTACACTCCGTATACAAAAATGACGCACCGCGGCAGTGTACGATCAACACATTTGAAACGACACTTTCTGGTTTCAAAAGCGTCAAAATGTTTAAGAAATGAGACACTTCTAACCCCCTATTGCATAACGTGCTCGATACAAAATTTGCGCATGACGTGGGAAGGTCTAATCGATTCACTTATCGTTCGACTGGAGCGTTAATTAACTCACGAGTACATAAGTAATCAAGATACAATTTCTTGTATGAAAGCTGAAATGAAATTCATGCAATAGTGGGTTAAACGCAGAAAATTAAAAATACAAATATATTAAATAAAGAGAACAACACGTATTCGTGAATGGACACGCGTGGAATAACAATTTTGCGAAAGAATTCTTGGTAATTTCTATCAAGATTAGTCGGCTTACCTATATGTCCCGATCAAATAAGAGGTTCCACTGTATTCTATCATTTTACGACTTGCTAAAAAGCTTACGCATCGATACATCGTTAAAAAGGATCAAGGAATGGGAAGGATCGTTTCGGTTTTTCTTTCTATTCTTTTTTTTTCTCGATAACAATATTTGGTAACTTTAAAATGCCGATAAAATTCTCTGTTTTACGATTCTCGTGTAGTAGTATCAAGCGTCGAGTGTTCCGCGGATTCGGATCGATATGGATCACCCACCGGAAGTGCATGTCGCTGCAGCACGAAAGAAATGGCGCGCGCGTGTCACCTGCGTGCGATCCTTTCTTATTTGTACGTAAAATTATTTCTCATTATACTGATGCGCATCTAGACTTTTTGTTTCGTTACGAACGTTATTTAGAATATTATTTCAATGAGCAAGTAACTAGGAGAGCCTCTGTTTTATTTTACTTCATATTTTTTCTTTCATGTCTTTTATTCGCCTATTTCTTTTTAAGTCCCGTTTCATTCTATCGTCCCTTTTTCGTTAGCTAATCGAGACAAGCACGAGGACACGCTTCTGTCACGTCGTTACGTCGCTTTTCTCGCCAGTCGGCGCGAGCAATTCTCCAATTCCGACTTAACAAATTAATTAAGATAATGTAAACACTCGCAGCCATGCTGACTCTTCCCCGATGTTTCATACCCTTTCACGCTTTTTTTTCTCGCACGCTCACTCACCCAATTTTCTATCTGGTTTATTTACAATGTATCGTAGTGCAATCGTATCCTTTCGCTTCGGAGTACGCTAGCTGGATGCCAGTTTCTCGTTCGTCGACTATGAATTCGATAACTGTCGCGCGGTGTGTTTTCATTAAATGGCGGGAGCCAACGCGTAGCTATGCATAGAGAAAACGAAATGCTAGCTGCAGTGGACGAAAATGAAGCACGGCGTACGACGGAACGGCTCTAATTAAAATTAATTCTCAACTGATACGGAGTACGGTATTTGATTGTTATTAATATCACTGATGGTAATCTGATGTTGTTTATTACAGTTTCATTTAGAAAAAATTTTCTACGTTAGTATATGGTAATCTAGGCTGGCATTGATTCCTGCATGCTCTTACTAGGTACAGTTAAATCTGCTTATAAAAATCCAGTGAATACATTTCTGAAGGTTAACACTGGGATTAAAAAGCCTATAAATTGATCTCAGTAGATGAATCGTTAAACGACATTATTTTTCACGTTCACATGTAATCATTTGTGTTCTATTAAAAACAAAATCTTAAAGCTTCTTTCTTTGAAATGAAGAGATGTCTAATTATTACAATTATCGCGCTCCTGATTGGTTGCATTAGAGAAGGTCTATTTAACATTTTCCCTTTTTTAATGTTAATTCGGTGAAGTAGTTGTTACGCAATTTTCTCTGTTTCATATATCAAATCATAGTCTATTTACGTGACAATTATTTAGATTAATTAGTGAAATTAGGAATGAAAATTTAGTTGTTTAAGAAACAGTAACAAATGTTGGAATTCTAATTGTGTTTCTTATTTGAAAATACGTTCAGCATATAAACGATTTATAAATATTCCGTATAGTGTTCTTGGAGCCCTTCAACTTTGGTCTGAAACATTTTATAACTCTATTGATACCTTTGACAATAGCTATTTGGATCGATTAAAATTAAACAGCCTACTTATTTTGTTCGACTAGAAGCCTGACTGTATTTCATTTCTTATGAATCTATAATTATTAGAATTCATTGAAACACTGTCATTACATAGTTATTCGACTGAACATTCGTTGGCAATTGGTCTCTTTTTCGATTTGCCTTGAAGCCTCGGTAGATTGCAAATAGACTACGCAAACTTTTATACAAGTGACTCTTATAAACAATGAAATACGTTTGGATTTCATTCACCTTATCAATTGAGAATTAATTGGTTTATGCGTGCAAGTTGTATCGAATTAAGTAGGTCGTAAGTAGGCGCGTGTCTACTGGACCCTCATTCGATTGCATTGTATGCTATTGCTTGATATAGATTAACTACGTTTTAATTAAGTTAAACAAATGTGAAATGTGGCAAAGACAATAAATTATGGAATTTATTCACGATTCAAAAAATAAAAAAACCAACATGAGAGTTTGGTCTGGTCGAGAGACACTGTCATTCGATTTGCACAATTCACGTCGTTGTTAATGTCTGGTCAGTGGTCGAGTAAAGAGCTCAAGCTGAATAATATCTGATGAAATTAAAGAAAGCGGGGATCGCAATCGAATAACACGCGAGCAACGCGAGAAGCAGGATTCAAAGCATCGACGGCATATTTTGGAATGTTTTTTTCCTATGTATTCGTAGAATGCTTGGTTAATCCACGATTCGTTTGTTTCTTCGAAGCAAGAAAACACTTTTCTGGTATTAGATGAGCGCCGAGATAGCATAGAATTTCTCTACTCTTCAATCAAATTTGGGGTGCTCTATTCTCGATTCATTTTTTAGAAAATCATTTTGTTAAAAATTGATACTTGCATGCCTGATTTTGAAACGAATTGTTTAATTTAAACAAGAATGTTTAATTTATCCAGCCTCCTACAATTTGTGAATTTCATTTTTCTTTTTGTGATCAAAATACATTTTTAGAGCTTCTACATTTCAATGTGCTACTTGTCTAATTTTTCAATATTTTTTTTATTTTATTTGTTATTTTATATATTCCCAAATAATGCGTTCAGCGTGAGTCAGATCGTTTTTGTTTTACAGAAATCAATCATCTCTAGATTGAATTCGATTCATTTCGACCTGAACCGCGTTTAGTTGTGATTATGAGGATTCTATGGCATGATCAATGATAATTCAGCTGATATTTATACGATCTCGTCTGCCATGCGTTTTATTCGGATATTACAAAAAACAGTTTTCACGGCGCAAATCGCAAATGAGGACCGAATTATAACCTGGTCGTGTATTACTTTTTGTTGTTTGTTCGTTTGCCTATTTCTTGCTACTCGTAGAACGAAGATCACTCTCGCCGATCTATCGTAACCACTTCCCATTTTATTCTCGATTTCTCTCGAAAGAAACATAGGAAAAAATTAAGAGGGTACATGCGCTTAGGAGAGTATCAGAAAATCGATTTCTTTTTCGCCTTAAAATTTATACATATCTTGGGTCAGCATTATTTCGAATAAACGAATTGGGGTGTTTTTCTGTTTTTAGCATTTGTAGGTGAAAATGCATTAGAATTTGTTTATTTTTTGCCTATAAAAGCATTTAAGCTGTATTTTCGTCAATTGTGTAATTTTAACAATACAAACGTATTGTTTTATCGTTATGTTACATACAGTCATCGTCACACATTTTCATTCACGTTTGGAAAGTTTCAAAGGTTCATGCTCGTTAGTAATATTATTCATATAAGACCTATTTATTTTACGTCAATTCTATTTTAGTACTATTTTTTGTTCATTTTAAGGTGTTGAAACTGTATATTAAATTAATTATTACTACTAACGGCTGGCAAAAATACAGCATAATTGTTTTTATGATAAAAAAATGAACAAATTAATCTTGAATTCTCTTTTTATTTCAAACAGATTACATAATATTCGCCCCTGAAGAGGTTAAGACAAATAAATTTTCCAAGCTTCTAGAAAACTTATAACGAACGTTGTAAGCACTGTAGTTAGTTCGTAGTGATTCGTTTGAAGGAAACATATAAAAAAATATATCATCCTAAACATTGTTCCGTTGCGTTTCCTCTCAAACTCGTTACCTTCTTGCTGCACTGTGTACGTTTGCTTTACCTGCTAACGATATCTTAACGATCTACAACAGTGATGACAAATCAAACGTCGTTTAATCGATAAAAATTAGGAGAATCGGACAAACATGTATACATCTCGGCGCGTTATATTGATTTCCATGTTTCAGTATATTTCACATTGTTTAATTTCTGAAAAATATAATACAGTTTTTCAACATAAAGACACTTAAGTTTAAAAGAAATAAAGACAAAATTTGATAAGATACAATTTTACTACAAAACTTGCCGCGTGCCAGTGAAACTTGTCTCGTGTAACGAGAGTTGGCACGCCTGCTATAGATTTATCATCACTGATCTATAGGGTGAGGCTCGTAACTGGAACCACTTCATTGTTTTTTGGTTTTTTTTTTTTTTTTTTAAGGCGAAACTTGTAGCTTTAATTGGGAGACCGTATAACGGACTAATAAAATTGTCGCAAACGGTAAACAGAAGCCGAGCACATTTTCTTCTCCTGTTTATTATTATCGTGCGAGATGTCTGTACATTTCGATACAATCATCGGTTGAAATTATTAAAGATCTTCAAACGATCGTATTAATCGCTACGATTGAAATTGGTTCGATATTATCTACAAACTTACGTTACAGGGAGCGAAACTATTTTCATAAAAAAAAAAAAAAACGAAATAAACACTTGGAGATAGCCTTAAAATCTTGAAATATACCGCAATAACACATCTACACATTTTATAGTTTCTTTACTTAAGTGAATTTCTTTAATTTATTTACTTTATTCTATTGTTTCGGGAAGTTTCGTTTTAAACACCCTTTTTAGTACATCCCGCGACGCATTAAGAAATATAACGTGCCTGCTTTGTCATCGATCAGTCGATTACATATTTTCATTCGTAGCAACATTTGCAATGGTATTTCCTCCGAAGAGGACGAGTCACCTCTCCGGGTCGAAACGTAACTTGTACTTGATTGATAACAAACAGTCGCGCAAGTCGTTACTTATTATTTGGAAATTTTCTAAATCGTAAGTTATACGATATTTTCTGAGCATATATAATTCATATCTAGGTCGATTTTTATCGAATCTAGTCAGAGATTTACTTCTTCCTTTTGCTCGTGCGAATATACAAAGGAAACTTGGCGAAGGATGATTTTATATTATTTGGTATTATCGAGTAAATATGGTTGAGTTTATTTAATTCTGTAATAAGAGGACGTTCCGACCGCGAGGTTGTATGGTCCTCTTCAGATGTAATACAACAAAAATATGAAACGATCAACAGAGTAATTCAAGAAGTGGTAAAATACAATTAACAGGTCGCGAGCTAGTTTTTAAACGCTTGCCATGGATAAATCTTAGCACGAACTTTTGTATAACATTAATTTCATTGCGAATATTGTGAAATAATAATCGTTGAAGCATGTGGTTCTTGTTTTCACATGATAATTTGAACAAATGTTGAGAATAAGGACATCTCAACCTGTTAAGCACTTGCGAACGAGATCTGTGTCGTATAATGAAATATAAATAGTCAAAATTAAATTAAAGTAGATAATTTATACTTTTCTGTAATATATAAGGACGAGGCACAGTAATCATTCTGTATTAAAATAACACGATCTCATGCTTGTTTATTCAAGAATTTATACTCGTTGGTTAGTCTGTGCAAGTAATAAAGAGTTGAACGCTTTTAATTCTTGCAATTTGATCCATTTCTAAAATATGTAAAAGCATATAACAATGTATGTCTAGAAAACACTGTTCAATTTTTAAGAATAGGTAAAATAATACCAACCCGAAGCACTTGAATAAATTCTTTAGGCGATTACAGTTAACCGTTATAGTTAACCATTTCTTATAAATTGGTTTGACTTATTTATATAAATATATGTTCAAACATATTTTATTAATATTAATATAAATATATAATACATATTTATAGATATAATTCAAATCAATCCCCTAGATAATATACGGAGTACTTTCGTAGTTAATGGATAAAATCTACCATAATGAATAAAAATTGCTAGAAAGAAATAATTTATAAAGAGATTGGTCTATAAAATCTTCTATAATTTATTAAAATTGATTCATAATGCTAAAAGAGTTTAATTCTTTAATTACTTTTACAGGCTAACTAATAAATATAAGTCTTTCTGTATCTCGAAAGCTGATGAATGACGATTATTCATTAAAATTATTCGTTACGAAGCTATCGAAGTGGTTTCAGTTTCGTGGCCCAAATGTGTCTATTTAGAAGCGCGTAACGTTTGGCACTGGTCCTCCTCGATCTTTCTATCCCGCGAAATGAATGAAACCTCAAGGGTAGTCGTCTGGTTTTTGGGTAAGAGTGTATCCGTGCGTGCGTGAGTGTATCCGTGCGTGCGTGCGTGCGTGCGTGCGTGCGTGCGTGTGTGCGTGTGTGAGTGCGTGCGTGCGTGCGTGCGTGCGTGCGTGCGTGCGTGCGTGCGTGCGTGCGTCTACTACCAGTGGGAATTATAGATGTTGCAATTGAAATTTTTGTTTACCTTATTAACGTAGCTAGACATGCTCGATTTTCGAATTTTGTAACTCGACACCGTTTGTCTTTCATTTTGAGCGGGAGACGGGATAAAAATCGTTCTTCCGTCTAGCAAAGGGTAAGGGAACGGGACTGAGATTACAAAATACGGTCCGCGACCAGAGATGGGCAAAATTTTATTGGAACAAATGGATAATAAATAGAACAAACGTATAGCAATTTATTCGCTACGTTCATTCGATGGAACAGCTGAAACTTTACACCACGTGGTCTCCCAATTTCTTAACAAGTAATTATTATTGTTAAACGGTTTTGATTTTAACTGGTGGGAACCTCCAAAATACAAAAAAGATATCTTCGTTTATTCATAAATAAAGTAACGTGTTAAATATGATAAAGGAATCTAATAGCTCGATAAATAGATAATTTACAGGAAAAAAGAAATTTACATCTTCGTTAGAACGTAACCTATGGATTAATATTTACAATATTAATAGTTAAAACATTTTTGAGCCTCGATCGTAAGACAATTTCATTACAGTCAAATTTTTTACCACGTGTATTCCCAACTCCTTCTATGCGAGGAACAAGAATATTTATTTTACGTTATTGGGCATACGAACCATATCTTCTTCTAATGTCAATGCATACTATTACCTTTTATAATATTTAATACTTAACATATTAAAAAGTTATCAAGGATATAAGTTTGTTTATTTCTCTAGATTCTTCATTTATAGATCCAGAAAATATTTTTCTTTGTATTCAGAAGATAGTTTAGAACATAAAATGAAAACCTTTAATAATAATTTCTTGTGTTTTCGGGAAATCATGTATTTTAATTCAAACATGGTGTAAGCACACAGCACCATCTGACACCCAATTTTTAATTTTTTCATTGTGAAGTATTTCATTCTATAATTTTAAATTCATAATTTTAAATTTTAATTTCAATTTTCGTTCAACGAATTCCTTGAAAATATGTATTTAGATAAGAACTTTGCCCATCTTTGGAAGCGATTGAACGCGTGTTTGTCTGGAGGCACAGCAACACCGAATTCACCGAAATTTTCGTCGCGCTTGGCAAAATATTATCGAACGTGCGCGTGCGTTTCGTCTGGAGCAAAGCGTATGCATAAAACATGTACCATCAACGAACTGAAAAGAATATTAGTAGCCTATTGGGCGTCGTAACCTCCCTATTGCCCCTTATGCGTGTTTCCCATCTTCGTCATTTAAGGGAGGAAACATCATTACGAGTCCTAGTATTAAATGTTTCTTGGGATATTTTTTTTATGGAGAAGAATTTATGTAATGTTCTCACAACTTTGAAAATATTTTAGGTATGTCTTAGAACATATTTGGTAATTTCTTCAATTCATTTCACATAGAAATCTTTGTGGTAACTCAAAAACTAATTGACCGATTGTTTTCACCTTTTATATACATCTACTTTACTTAAATGCCTTAGATATGAACTAAAAATATGGAATGATACCATTGTTAAAAGTATGTTTTTTATTCCAAAAAGTTGCACAAAAATGGTGAAAATTGATACTTTGTCTCCAAACACTCCCGAAAAATTCAATTTTCAACTTTTTGGCGGCAGTTTAGTTTATATCCTTAGAAAACAAATTAATAAGGTAAACAAAAATTGCAATTGCAACATCTATAATTCCCACTGGTAGTAGACGCGAGCGAAAGCATGCTATAGGGAAATGAATAGAAAAAGTTACCAAATGTACTTTAAAACATACCTAAAACATTTCTAAAGTTAAACAGAAATTAAGAAAATTTTTGTCTGTGAAGAAAAATCACGAAGGACACTTGATATTTGATCTCGTAATGTGGTTTTTCTTTTTAATGACGATTATTTCGGTGAATAACATGTCTCGGCGAAGGATGCGCATGGTTAGCGACGTGACTATGTCATTGTTATCAGTTCTACCCGAATTCCATCCGCTGATATATTCTTTCCAGCTCCCCATGGTACGCGGCACGGTGTGCAGAGACTGCGAATCAGTTTTGTCGTTGAATTTAACAGCGTGCAACGAAGATACAACGGGAGAGATGTTGCCACGAGCTCGAATTCTCCTGTTAAATCGATCGATCGTCGGACCGAAAAATCCTTGGTATTTTCGACCCAAACCCTCGAGGCAGATTTATGTTTCCCTAGCTTTCCCCTCGCTTTCCTCTTCGCCCCACGTCACCTCGATTTTCGTTCTCAATCTTTTTCGCCGAGCTATTTTGTCCGTGTATCACCACGATTGACTAAAACGTATATTGCAATATGAAGTTGGCAGTTTTCGTTACAACGCGATTTGAACTCACATGGTCTTTTCGTGTGCACGCCTGTGGCTCGTTTACTCTGCTCGAATAGAGTTGGGCACCGATTACTTCGCGATCGTTTTCGTAATCGTTGTTCGCACTCGTAATCTGCGATCATCGGTCGGTAATTTTTGTAATCATCTCGGAGTTAATCGTGTTTGATTATCAATCATACGTTTTGTCACGATTACCTATTGCTTGGTAGAATGGTAAGCATGGATTACGTTTCGCCCAACAATGCTCGATGATCCGACGACGATCGCCACGAGTCTGGATCTGAACTCCTCGCGATCGATGTTCGGCGTTTGAAAACAAAATATGTCGCGCGCGATAGGAACATTTTCCTGTGTTTTCTCGATCACCGAAACTTTCTATACGAAACGGTCGCCCTAAATCGATATTCTGGACTCTCTATGCCAGGAAAGAAAACTCGTAGATGTCCGACATCCATGAGCGATCGACGCTTCGGGCAGTCGAGATGCTTCGGTTTTGATCAATTACGCATCTTTCAAACTTTCGATTGCTTTTTGAAAATTCAGGTTGCTGCACAGTGATCGAAATTCCCATAATTTTTGGCGAAGAGTGCCTTCTTTAGAATCCTTTGTTAACAACAGCGTGAAATTGTGTACTACTTACTATCGACTTTGAGGTTTTTAATGTTAATATTTATGTCTAAACAAATTTTTATTTTATTGAAATGGTTCTGTTTCAGGTGAATGAGATGGATAATCCTGCTTCTGAGATATTAAGTGGAGAATTATGTCGACGAATGTAAATAATCATAAATATTAGATAATAATCAGAATGATATGAAATATTCAGACCTATTGTTCATTGTAATTCATGTGGATTTTGAGATTATTATTTAGCCCAAAGTAATGAATTTCTGAAGATTCAAATGTTATACCCCAATTGATTTCTATTAAAGCATTAATTAAGAAAAAAGGAATTGCGAATAGTTTACTCTAATTCAATAATTTAAAATTGTATTTTCATTGCGAAACACATTCCGTTTCATATAATAAATATATAAATTAGATTCAATGAGACCGTGGCCAGCTTTTTGGGATTTTTGACCACTGTGCATCGCGCAGAGTTGAAGATTTCTTTCGCCGCTAACACGTTGACTGCCACTTTAAATTTGCGAGTCTAATTCGATCTCAGATTTCTGGACGCAGAGCAAGTGTAATTTATTGAAACCATAGACATGATTCGATCATGCTATCCCATATGTACTCAGTATCTGGTGATACAATCGTAATCTCTTTCAATATATGATAATTAGGGAAATGTAATGAATTGTTTCGAACAGAAAAAATTACTAGTCAAGAAGCGGTTTACATTTCAAGTATTATACACTGTGATTGATATTCTTATAATTGAATTATAATTAAATTGATAATTATTCATTCTTAAATTGATAATTGATCATGACTCGATAATAATTATAACTATAATGATGATTATATATATTTGTATATATGATATTACTCACATTACATAATTACATAATAATCATAATTACAATTGAAGTACCATGATTCATGAAAGATTTCGAAAAGTTTACAAAACTTGAACACTGTAATAAAATTCTTTACCAAGCACAGAAAAAGGTCTGATGATGATTTATGAATAGATGATAGCTGTCTACCAGGAATCTGTGTTTTTATTATCAACGATTTGAAAATCCTCAAATAAGTGTAAAAGAGGGAGAATCGAATTTTGAACGATGAACTTCCAATGTATTCATGATTGTAGGGCAATTTGTAGTAGATGTATGAAAAAAAATAGTTTGATAAAATCATTTCCACATCATCTTAGTAAATTGCAGTAAAAAACGACTGGACTATCGCAGTATAGAACACTATTTTTACAAAGGTGAGAGAAAGTTAAATATGAGATCGCAATAAATAATGATTATGGAAGACTTTAAAACATAACAATATATCTAAGCGTATTAGATTTTTTTTATCTTCATCATACCGCGAAGTTATGAAAGCTCTTATCTCGTGAATATAAAATAACTTTTTCCTCAACAAACTCGGCCAATTATTATCAAATACTTTATTACTTTCCCACGATATTTTAAAAAATACTTCATTTTTACTTCTATTCGCATGGGTGAAACTTTAACTTAGAGTGACGTGGCAATCAGTGTGTTGAAAAAAAAAAAATGTTCTCAATAAATCATATCTATTATTTTTATAATAGTCATCAATTTATTAGTCCTTTCCATATCCTGACAGAAACAGGGACTACTGTCATTAGTGATACGATAAAATATGATCTTCACCGAAATACCGGGTGACATGGCAGTCAACGCGTTAACGCGACTATCCGGTGTTCGGAACTATGCGCAATCGTTCGCAAACTCGCTTCGACGATTCGCGGACGAGAATGAAACTGCATCGGAGCCACCGTCGTCTACGTTTTCCCGTTTTCATATTTCTCGACCGATTCTCGTCGACTTTGGAAAATACTCGTCGCTCGCCGCGCGCCAAATCATCCACTACGCTTTCCCACGATAATCGAATATCCGTTAATATTGTTTCCCTTTCTTCCTCGTTCAGCGTTATTCCGGCTCAAAAACACTCGCTACCGAACGAACGTACGTGTAAACTCACTTCGGTCCCCCGACGTGCCTCTCCAGTCTACTTTATTTTGTTTGTTTTTTTTTATTTTCCCCTATACTTTAAAAGTGATTTATCTAAATATGTGCGAACAGTCACATTCTCGTGTGCACTACATTTGCGTATATATATTTATATATATATATAATATGTATATATATGTATATATATAATATGTATATATTACTTCGCAGTAGGTACTCTCTTTTCATTTTTTTTTTCTTTAACGGATACAATCGCTCTGTATAAAACTCGTATTTACAAGATGATCGATTTGTATAGTATTAATAGGTTCCTTTTCTTTTTAATTTCTGTTTTGTTTTTTTTTAACTTCATTTTCGGTTTTCCTTTGTTTTCACTCTCGACTTTAAATCCCGAGATGTCTGCGCGTCGATGGTGCTCTTTGGTAATTAACGATATCGTTTATATATATATTTTTTTTTTTCCGGTAATATAATTACGCGATATTAATATGTAGGTGCCCGCCGATAACGCGAATTCATATTCTTCTTCATTGTCTCTTTTTCTTTTCACTTGGGTATCTTCTTTTACTGTCGTCTTCATCCTGCCAGAGGACAGAGATCGCTGTGAATTTGTTCGAATTCCTTAAACTTTTTATATATATATATATATATATATATATATGTATAATAGTATCAATGATAATCATCATAATAATAATAAACATAACGATAGTAATAATAATAATAATAGTAATAATAATAACTGACCGTGGTCGGTTCGGAGGAACTGGCGCGCACTTAAAAGCCTTACGATCGTTTTTCGATAAGACAACGTCGCGAACCGCTAAGAGGAATCATTATTCTCTAGGTTTTAATGCGTCACGGTTCAGAATTTGAAGAGTGGAAGGCGTCGAAACAGTTCCAAGTGTCAACGTTCGGAATACATTTTTGTCGCGAATCGCGATATCTCGTCTTTGCCAATTGGGGGGACACGGTGCGAGCTCGAGGGACATGTCTCAAATGGACTCTCTAAAATATACAATGTACACGAGGGGTTTGTCTCCTATAAAATTATATTTCTTCGCCGTTTGGAACGTTTCCACGCGTTCGCGTTTCTTCGTGCTCCGCGCTCAATCTTCGCTTCCGAAAATGGACGAACGATCGCGACTTAGACCGGATACTGGATTCGATCTCACCGGTTAATCGTATCGGCGTATCGCGCGCACCTCGAAGGTTTCGCGAATTCGTTCTCGTCGCGGGGAAACGGTTCAAAGGTCCCCACCCCTCTCGTTTACGCTTGTTCTGTTTCTATTGTAGGTACAATTCGCTTAGTTCAGCCTAACTACCTAGTTTGACGTTAGCTACGGAAGAGCCTCCCTCCCTCAATCCTCGTCGCCCTACGGGACGTGCCAGTTCCTCGCGCACATGCTCAACGCACGGCTCCGTAGATTTCAAACGTAAACAATAGGCACACGTATATAACGTACGCACGTACAAATACGTGGGGTATGTATGAACGCATACGCGGATACACGGTTGAATAGATGCATCGTAGACACTATAGAATATATCACAACGATAAAACGCTAGTTCCTTTCTTTCCCATTTTTTTTTCTCATTTCACGCTATAGTAGAGACTCCAAGTAGATAACGGATGTACAATTATATAAATCGCATTAATAATGCTTCCGGTGGGGCGGACGTGGAAGTATCTCGATACTTACATTATATCATTAATACGTGCAGAACGAAGAGACGAACGAGGGGTCGAGAATGTTAATTCGAGTCTCGGTGCACCGTCTACCCTCCTCCTCCAACACCCCTCTGGCGCCTACGCGAATCGATTTCATCCGTCCCGCTTTCATCCCGTCGACGAGGAGACTCTCTCCTTCGTTCACGCGGAAAGGGTTCCGATATTCGAAAAAAATAATAAGCCACGCGCTGGAATGTCGGTGTCGATAACGGCGCCATTAATCGAGAAGCGTTTTGTCATTCTGTCGGTCGTCGGGACCCATAGGCTCGCGGAGGGGTGTGTACCAGGGTGATGATGGAGGTCCAACGGGACGACAAAACACGAGCTACCCTCGGCCACTTGTTCCGCATATATATATATATATATATTTCGAAGGGGATGGCGAGCAAGGAGATCCTCGAGCAAGATTACCTACTTTTATAAAGAATTCTCGCGGAGTACCGGGGCAAGAAGCTCCTTATTAAATGCACAATGAGCAAGAGTGTCTGGCAAACGGACTGTTTGGCGATTGCAGAGAAGAGAGCCGGCGGAGAGTGCTGGAAGAGACGAAAACAGACGGAAACAGACCGTGACGAGACCGAGAAGGAGCGAAACAGTGCCAGGGGTGGCACGAGGACAGAGACGAGGGGAGGACAGGGTTGGGCGTGTCGGCTGGTCGATATCCTGAATGGCAAGCTTCCACGACCCAGTCTGCAGCCAGCAACCGGCGCTGGAGACGACAGAAGGCTAAGGGAGAAAGGGAGATGAGATGCTATGTGAGAAAAACAGAAGACGGGAGCGTCGGGGGTGAGGTTTTGGCGAAGCGAAGAAAGGGGTAGAACGAGAGACGTAAGTGTGCACGTGTGTTCGCGGGACGAGAAATCGGGAAGATTCTCGTCGGTGTGCGTCGCGGGGCTGACTCTCCGCGTACGTGAAAAATACCCCTATAGTCACAAACGTAGGCGGAAAAACGCGAGCAGGGTGCATGGGAGTTATCCAAAAGACGGAAGTAGAACGGCATACAATTGGCGTTAATTAACCCGGCAAAAACGTACCGACGGAACAGCCACCCAGGGAGACGAAGGGCCACTCTAACGAGAAGGACCGCGACCGACGGTCTACGTGTGTTCGGCTCGACGGTGAAATTAATTTACGCGCGAGAATAAACGCGACCGTCGCGTCGCAGCGATTTGGGGCTGTTCCTTTCTCGAGGGGACTTCGTATCAACGGAAACAGGGCCACCTGGTTACGTCTTCTCGTGCCGAGCGATTCGAAGAACGGTACAGTTGCGCGGGAACGATTGGATCGGAACACTCCAGGATTCGAGAGGTTGCGGTTTTCATTTCGAGCGTTTCGTCTCGTTCTCGCTCTTCCCGCCTGTACCCTTTCCGCCGCTTCCGACGAGGACATTTAGGACTATGGCACACAAGCGTTTGCGTGTTGCTGCTAAGCGATTCAGGGCTGGCTTCAAACAGCCAGCGAGTCCCGAGTCGAGGATCTCGATGACTCGTTTTACTTTTGTGCCATTAACTACATTTACGATTTCTCGCGGAGTTTCGTGTTTGTTACTTTGATAAACTGCAGATCGTCGACATTGACGGTACGAGTTTTTGTATCCGGAAGCTGGGAAAACGGCTTTCAGGGTTGAAAGACGGATAAAACTAATTGTTTAAACGTGAACAGAGAGAAACTATTGTAATTCATTTAGATTTCATATCTGTTGACTTTTTTTTTGTATTTCTTGGTGTTTTGCGATGTTCTGACTTCGAATTACCTTTGTAACACGGAAGTGAGTTGTTAGACCATAATGAAATTTGGTATCTATGGATGTGTATAAAATTGTGTATCTATGGATGTGTGCATGTATAGACTCGTGCACGAGATAAATGCGTTTAGTGACGTCAATAGATTGCACCATACTTTTACAATTGCGATTAGATGAATGTGTTATTTCATTAGTTCTAAAGAAATTATGGTTTTTGACTCTATGACTAAACTTGGTATAACGACTTCTGTACATGGAACTGAATTCTTCAAAGGATTCTACATGTATACGTGTGTATATTTGTCTCTATTCTGCTATACATGTCAGGAAATCATTTGGAGTTCGATACATGTAGCATTAATGTCTTACAATATTTGGAAAAAATGTACAAGGACGCGGAAATATTCCGAATGTAGCATATTTTAATCGGTAAGATGGAATTACATAGGTCAGGTCTGGATTAGGTCTCGAGGAACAAATTCAAAATCAAAAATTTTCGTCCCTTCAAATTTCCGAATTTTTAGTTAGATGTTTCAGCTATTAAAAACTAGAAACACTCGGTACATCCTAAATTAGTACTGGAAAAAATTCTGACTCAAAACCGCCAGCTTTTTCAACAAGTGGAGATTTTACTTTTAAGACTCACAGTTTGAGATCTTCTGTTCAGGACTCGCTCGCCCAAGCCATCATCGAAACACTCTGTGCTCGACGCAAACGTGAAAGACAATATTCCATGACCCTCGCGAGATCGCCTCCACGCATGCCGTGTCAACAGAGGAAAGCCGTTTGATTTCGTTTTCGCCGAAGTCGTGTCTCTCTCCTTGGCTCGCCATTCGCCTCGGTGTTTGCAACTCGATCGGAATTAACTCGCGCCCGATTGAATCGTACGTCCCGGGAGTATCTCTACGTAAACATGTCGCGACTACGTAGTTACGAGCTAAGAACTCCCCAATTGAGCCCACGTACACGAACACGTACAGGGTGGTCGCGCGTCGCGACTGATTCCACGGAAGTTACACGATTCCGAGGGAGGATCGCGGTCATAGAAGTGACGGAAATACAAAAAGGTCGCTTCGTCCGACGAGTTCTATAAATGGTAAAAAAGTGGTATAAAATGAAACGGACACACATAAGTTCGTGGCAATAAAAAAGACGTTCGTGAAACAGCTCTACCTCGAAATGATGCGACTCGCGTCGAAACTGTTTCGCCCGCTTGTTCGACGGTCACGCGGGACTAACGTTTCCCATACTCAATGAAACAAAGTATAGCGATTCAATTCGGTCAGGCGGTTTTTTAAGAGGTACTCTTGTTGGGTGCAAACTGATTAGTAGCAGTAGTTGCACGGTAGTTGGCGTTTAGCTACGGAGCTGCGATGTCTGCCGTTTGGGGGCGTTGAGGTCCTTAATGTTCCGTCCCCCAACAAGAATTTCTCTAGGTTGTCTGTGAATTACTGACATCCTGCAGTCAAGGACGATATACTTTTCCCCCAAGAATAGGAGAAACAAATCTGTTTCAGACAGTATCAAGTTCTTATTGAGTGTAATCCACTAAATAGGCTATCCCTGGGACAACAGCAACTTATAGCGATTTTACTATATCGCCACGTTTGTTTCACCGAGTGTGCACCAATCGTTGATCGTGCTCGCATCGACGATCGAGCCGTCGCGGCCGACGCGCCGATAATCGTGTACGTGTGTCTGCACGTAATTTACGTAATACGCGTCTTGCGTAAGTTCTCCTTACATACATTAGATACTTACAACGTACTTACTTAACGTATTAAGTCGCACCAGTCTCCGGTAGCAATGCCGTTTTTGTTTTTTCGTTATCGGTTCCGAAATAAAAACCCTCTATTCGGCTCTCTTTTGACGTGCCACGCGTTGGCGCTCGCAGAGTACACACACACGCGCGCAAACGTACGCCTACGCATTTGTGGTTCGTACGCGTAGGACAGTGACGCCGCACACACTCATCCTCGCGCACCCACACGCACACGCGTTTCTATTTTTTCGTTTTTCTCGAGCTTACGGTCATGCACACACACACACACACACACGCGCGCACGCGCGCACAGACGCATGCAAACACGTACATACGAGCGCCATTCGAGCGACGATCGTTAATTCTCGATCGTTCCCAAGAGTCCCTCGTTTTCCATCGCGTTTATTCCGATTCGCCGTCTCGAGCTTTGCGTTCTTCCTTACGTTTAGTTAACTTTACTATATATGTATATATATATATATACGTATATATACATGTACATATACCTATAGTTATCTATATATCTATATATGTACTTATATATATGTATATATGTATATATGTATGTATATAATGGTAGCTAAATTGACAAGTGTTTATATCGAAGGTATTTTTCTTTGTTCTCTTTCTTCTTAAAGAGCTACGTACCTAGACTGGCAATGTTTAAAGTATGCACGCTCGTGGATACGCCGTTTAGTTTAGGATTCTTATAGTTTTGTTATTTTTTTTTCCGTGGGGCGTGTTTACCGTGTTCCCGCCACATTCGTCCTCGCGTGAATCGAACCCTTCTTACGGGGGACAGTTTAGCAAGATGGGTCACGGAAATCGAAGATCACTTGGCAAAGGGAGACTATGATCGATGGGATTTGCGGAATGTCACGAAGTAGTCACAGCGCGTTTCAGTCGGCCGACTGGTCTGGCTGGCGACTGTCTCTATCTCTTGCTCGAAGCACGACGCGGTTCGTTCGAGTCCACGACGACGTTTTATTTATTTTTTTTTTTTGATTTGACACTATTCCGTTTTTTTCTTTTATTTCTTTGTATTAACTCGAATTGAAATTATATTCTCGTTTAAATCAGCGGAGAGCTATTAACTTCCATTTGGCTCTCCCAGTCTCCCTTCACGTCTCTTTTTCGTATTCTTATATTTCCATTTTCATTAATCGTCGATCCCCAGCGGCCAGGTCAATTTAATTTATACAGTTCCTTGTACTTGCCCCCGTCTCGAAGTAATCACAGCGTTATTTTGGTTTTTCCCTTGGTTTTTTCTTTTTTTTGTTTCATTTTCGTTTCGATAGCTCCTCTTGCGAAACAGGTTTCACCCGTCTGTCCCACCCTCAGTTTTTATACTTTCGTTTCTGTCTTTCACCGCACGTCCTTTTTTGCCGTGTGCGCACGCGAGCGTCGCGTTCATTCGTTTATTTCCCTTCCTCGAGAACCACCAAATCGTCCGCCACGACGTCGCTGATGTGCAGGTATATGATCCAATACATTAGGTTGAAACAGACGAAACATACCGGGAACACGATGCGGGAGTATTTGTCGATATCCGACGGCGTAATACCTGGCAAAAGAGGAGAATCTATGCATTATCCTGTTTTCGTGGAAAGTGAGTTACATTTCATTCACGCGTTAAGGGCCAATTTAACAAGATTCAATTTGTCATTTTTTCTTTCAACACACCCCTATTACTTAATTATTTTTTTTTTCATATTCTGTTTATTAATTGGAAGTCCAAAAACATGCCTAATCATTTGTAATTTTTCGTACAATGCATCTCCATCGTTTACTTTTCTTTTTTAGTATTGAGATAATAAAAGGGATTTCCAGGAATGTGCCTAATTATTGTTACTTTCTATTTATCTTTCCTTCTTGATTCTACAGTCGTATATTCACATATTTAGTATTCACTGTGATAAACTATTTTAGTTTAAAACGAGAACATGAAATAAAAACTGAAAATATTCAGATGAAACGATTGTTCAGAGCACTTAGTGTGATGTACTTTACTTTAAATACGAATGCTAAGTTTATTAACTTGGGAACAGTATATATTTTGTTTGATATGGTTCTGAAATGATTATTTATCCGTTTTAACCGAAAAATATTTTTCCTTCATATTTTTTTCATATCTTCAAAAAAGTGGAGATGTATGTTCGCATTAGATAAGGAACCCTGCATGATATAAACTACATTATCAATAATGCTGACTGATTAATTTGATATCCACTGTTTGTATCAACTGATCACTCTTCCTCTATAATTTATTCTGAATATTTCTCGTTATACAAAGACGAATCCACACGTCAATTAAATACATAACTCCTTTGTTGTTCAGCATTAAAACTTTCCTTCGTCAAATATGTTTATAACTTAAAAGAGAAATTCACGAGATCAAATATTTATACTTGGTAGTTAAGTTAATACACCACATTTAGGTTCTAACAGTGACTAACAGATCCGTAATAAATGTCTTATGTGGAATAGAGTTCGTTGAAATATAGCGATAACAATACATCAATCCTCCCATCTTTCGTTAATACAAAATTTTAATATCGAAACATTTATCGTGTTTTTATTGAATGTCACTTGTCAAAACAATTTTTAAATGTTTACGCAATATAAAGTGGCGAACCAGTCAGAGCAAAAAGTGATTTTCTGCTTCAATAATGCAAGTGACTCCATTTCTGTTCATTGCATCTACTGTGAAAACAAAGGATTATCGTCGATTACGTGGTATTGTATCCATGAAGTGGAATTGCTTTATTATTCGTTTCATTTTTATTTTCACCGAGTTGAGTTACTTCTACTGGTTAAGCAGAAACTTGCTTATTGTTTTAGTAAAATTGATTTACGCATTTATCTCTGATGAATTATTGAATCATTTTTTAAATACATTCAATACAATTAACGGTAAAATAGATAACAATAACAATAATATAATATGTTCGAATAAGAAAATCTGGATGGCTGAAAAATTAAAGGTAATTGTAGGAAGGTCATGAATATTCTAGATTACATATTCCTACATTTTGTTTAAAATAATTTAGATAACTTTCTACATCTTAGAAAATCCAAGCAATATTTACACCTAACTTTGACCATGGATATACGTAATATTTTGAATGAATTGTTTTGTACAAGTAAAATTATAAAACCTGGAAATAATTAACCATAAACCATTTATTGAATACTGAATTAAGATTGTGTCAAACTTTCATAATAATTTAATCAATTGTGTCTATAGTGTGAAATAGTAGACTGCTTTAAGTTTTTATTTTCATTTTGTTAGTCCCGATTAAAAATTTATTTTTGAAAATATTTTTTGCTGTTTGGTGCCAGTTCGTATATCTGTTGAAAAACGAAATGATCTTTCATCAGACCCAACAATTTTAACACAATGGTGGTGTACAATTTGAGAAACGCTGCGTTTTACCATCAAGTAAGGAATTGCGTAATTCTATGAACCTTTAAGAGGAATGAGACTCATTCTCGGTACTTTACGAAGAAGGAATGGTATAAAGTCGTACCGTAAAGTTTGCTGATATCCTTGCCAGGATGAATGAGGTGTTGTGGCGCGGGCGCTGCTTCCTCGTCAGCTCGCCCGTTTATGGTGTTTTCGAGTGTTCCACCTTTGCTGTGTGCCTTCGGGTCGTGTACCTTGAACCGCACCTCCTGGACAACACGGGACCACTTACAAGAGACACGGCAGTTCGGCGTGGGGTGTCCTTCTTCGAGGAGAACCCCTTACTTTTGTAGATTGACATGCGACATCGAGGATGGACAAACGTGTCTTTTACTAGTCGTTTCTTTTCTTTTATTTTCCCGTACAGTAGTGCAATTATTATTTTAGGCCCTAAACGACCACAGGATTTTTGCTACGTAAAATATGCAATTGAATTTATGAAAGATTACATACTGAAATTATTTTTTGCAAATATTAATTTTTGTGACTTTTTGAATAGATTGTGGATTAATCAGTATTGTTTATATTATGTATATTTGGGGGATGTAATAGTTCGTGATAGTTAGAAGTATGCCAATTTGTATATGTTTCACGACTTAGTTAGAAATATTCACCTAATTTATTCTCTAAAAGTGTATTGATAATTTATAATTTTGCTCGTACGAGTCGGCGTATGTTGTGATAAATTAAGCGAAGCGCCAACGTAGAATTTCTAACCGGACTCGGGACTAAATTATTTTAGTCTTAAATAATCAAATAAATGTGGCACCTTATTGTTTTCTCGAATAGACCAATAGACGAGATTTCATTGTAGTCAATTGAAAACAACATAGAAATGTGTAACCACGACATAGTATTACAGAGGTTAAAAGACAAGATTATTTACAGTGGTTAATTAAACTAGTTATGGACGAAATAATGGGGCTGTAGACTCTGATGGACTGTACGTTGTCGTCTAAGGGTTAACACGTTGACTGTCACGCTATTCACATAAATGGTTTGTCAATTAATATATTTTCACATATGAGAAATTTTGGTAAATACAAATATATGTATTATGTATTCATTTCCATTTTTTTTTGTCAATTATGTATTAAGACTTGATTGCAATTCTTGAAACCCATTGAGTACGACTGACTTTAAGAAGTTCAGGATATTATATGAAGTGAACAAAATTCTTGATTTCGACAGATATTTATATTCACGAAAATAGTAATTATCCTTAACATTATGAATGAGGTAACTATTTAACTAAATTTTTCAAAAACTAACAATGATAGATAAAACTGTAGACTATGAGCAAAGTTTTGTTTTTGATGGGCAATTACATTATTTAAACTAAATAGTCGAAACTATACGTTGTAAATAATATGCTGTGCCCTAATACAAGCATTAGTCAATAATCAAATTCGTGACTAATATTTTCCAACACTCTATCTGTGGGATATTTTAATTCAATCTGAAACCTGTTAAACTGTATAATCCCTCTGGGTAGAGGAAATAAAGGGACTGTCAAAGTGGCGATGAGATTCGTGGATGACAGTCAACGTGTTAAAGTCAAACATCGAAAAACTCACCTGACCGTAGGTAGATTTTTGCTGTTTTTTCGTTTTAAAGCATTCAGTTTTATTCGATTCGTGTTTCAGAGATGTAATTGGATTTACACGCGGCGTACGAGGTACTTGTCGCGTTAATGCGCGCTTCGTGTTTCCGTTTAAACGCGTTTGAAGGCGGAAAATAGAGAATCCCAACGACATCGCCTTTTTTCCACGCGTCATTTTCATTAACGCCGCTGTTTTTCCCCGCGGTCATAATAACAGGCAGATGAAATGACTCGTGACGTCGAAAAATTCGGCTTATACGTGTCTCATCCTGTGTACAACCGTGTCAAAGAACGAGTAATTAATTCGTTCGAAATTAATTAAAACGAGTACACCCCGGCTACATTTCAACGCGCGACGTCCGTCTGCTATTACCGTCTCCTTTCCAGCCATCCTTCTGTCTCCGACGTTTTCTCGCCCCTTTAATATTTTTTGTCCCCGTTTCACAATCACTGAGATTAAAAGAAAATTTACAGTGCATCGCGTACCCGTGCACGAAGCGCGCCGTCCAGCGCAACGCGACCGAATGGGAATTCATTTCACAGAACCTTTTAGCTTTTGACCTTTCGCGGCTCGTTCGTTTTTCGAGCGACGAAAAAAAAAAACATTTTTCTCTCACTCTCTTTCTCTTTCTTTCTTTCTTTCTTCTTTTTCTTATTCGACGTCAGATCGAACCGTGTCTCCGACACACGAGATCTCGACCGACTTCGTGGCGAAAGAAGCGTCGAACGATGAGACGGGAGAGTGAGTAAAGAAATGGCGATGGACGATGGCGGAAAATGGCCAATTTTGGTACTCGTTGGAAAAGAATGTAGACCGTTCGAAATACTCAGCGTGTATTTGCTTCGAAATTTTGATATTCGCGTTTCTATGTGACTTGTTAAATTCTGTCGTTCAGTTGTCTGTAATATGGATTCGATAATTGATATATTCCAAAAAATCTGAAGATGACAATTGCAGTTTTAATTATAATCTTTATTTTGTTGTTTAGTATCATTAGTTTGGGGGTATTCTTAAAGTACTGTAAAAGTAGAACATAGTTAGGTTTGTAAGTAATGGGGGACAATTTTGATAGATGTTTTAATTAAATTAGAAATAGCAAAATCATGAAGTATCCCAAACTGTGTACACGTGAAAATGAAGATGAACTTTGAATATATAATACGTGCTATAATGTTTTAATGTTTAGTATTCAAATAAATTTTCTACTCTAAATGTTTTTCTCTTCTTACAAATTTAGAGTTCCTTGTTCTACTTTTGCAGTATTTTGTGCGTGATACCAACCCAAGGATTGAAGCATCAGTATAAAACTTGTAATTAAGACTGAAATTGTTGTCTTATTTTTCACTTAAAAGTTCCTTGTTGAGTGTAAACTGAGGTTATGTAGAAGTAAAGTACGTGAGAACCTAATCACACTGCAGTGTTTTATTAGTCTGAAACACCATTGCCAGGGGTGAAAGCATTCCTCTAAAGAAATTTTGACTTGTTATTAACATATTTCGATTATTATCGAACGACATTTTTGCATCTGCTTCTGTTTAGCTTGGTGATACAGAGTCAGGGAAAACTTGTAGTGGAAACTGCACAAATATAGAAATTTTGAAGTGTTATAAATGCACATAGAGAACAGATTTCGAATAGTTTTTAAATGATACATTTCAATTATACACCTCGTATCGTTATCATATAAATGTTTCTTTCCCAACGAATATCAAAGTTCGCTCACTTACCAGATTAGTTCGTTAATAAAAAGCTCGATCGATGACCAGCAAAAATAAACACGATCGACTTATCAGCTAAGGTGGCGCTACTGCGTCGAGAAACATTCTAAATTTCATCGATCTACATAGAGCTAAAGGCGGAACGTGTGACGATGTCGACGGCAACAGAAAGGTTCTAATTGGAAAGAAAGACAAAAAGGGACGTGACAGCTTGGCCGATGTTACTCACAGTTTGCTTAGGCGCGTGGTCTCCGTGATCGCCGGGCACTCCGGGCGGTCCTGGATTCTCTCTCGCCGCCTTCATACTTTCTGCTATTTTTTGGAAGCGGTTCTTCCTCATTTGAATCCTCTTTGCCATGTAACCCACCGTGGCGTATTCTACGAGGGACAGAGAATCCACGCAGATAATGAGAGACAGAACAGACAGATCGTGCGACGTTGCAAGGACCAACGTCACGCGTTTCTGTGCCGCAGAACGAATTCGTTCCCTCTTAACGAGGATCACAGGTTCGTTTGTTGAGGAACGGAACATCAGGAAGAACGTACGCAGGTGACAAGCGTGGATAGTGCTGGGCTCGAGACCGATCGAACCGTTTCGAATCTGTGACGTCAGTTTCGAATCGTTTTCAATTCGTGATGTTAGTTCAGAATCGTTTCGAAATTGCGACGTCAGTCACGGATCGCTTCGAATCTTACTTGAAACCGAAAGATCGTGAGAATCTTGACGTGGTCTTGAAAATTTTTAACTAGTTTGATCATTCTGAAGCGTCTTCGAAGTCTTGAGCGTCTTTTCGTAGCAGTACCGTAAAATAGGGTTACTTTGCATCTAACGGGGCGTCTTTGCATAGATCTAGATTGGCTTTGATTGGATGTGATGAAAGAGCGCGGTACTAACATGTTGAAAACGTTTAACCTCTTCAGAGGTATTAGCTACAGTTTATTTGAATAAATCGACGTTGGCCTGTGACATTTGTCAATTGTTACGTTAATGGGAAATTTAATTATTGCACAAATTGAAAATATCAAATATTTAAATACATTGAATAATGAATTATTAGCAAAAACATATTTTGGTATTTTATTTTGACAGCTTCCCCTGTGACCATTGTCGATATTGTAGCGATGTTATGCCATAAGGAAAATTAATTGTTACATAAGTTGAATATGTAATACATTGAATAATGAACGATTAGTGATCAGTACATTTCGATATTTTATTTTGGGAGTTATTGTATTTAAAGTTATGATTGTCAAAATTATTAATTCTCACAGAGATAATTGCACACATGTATTGAAAGTAGTTGAAGTATCGTAACTATTAAATTGTACAATAACAGACTATGGCAAAATCACCAGAATATGGACAAATGTCGCGCTTCCATATCAGTTTCTGTTCATTTTAAGCGAAGTAATAGACTTGAAATAAGTCAATTGAAATGAAATATTCTAACTGGAGAAAATTATGATTGCTCAGAAGAGAGAACTGTTCCTTCCTTATTAATATGTGAGAATAGCAATTTCGTCAAGAAATCTCTTAAAAACTCTCTTTAATTAATGAATTCGTACATCATTACAAAACTTCTGAAACAATATCCCTGGTGTAACATATTAATATAAAGGAAGAACAATTATAATTGAAATAATATATGCAAGACTTTCTTGAGCGTACAAAATTACAGTCTAGATTATTTATACAAAAGTTTGATTTAAATAAGGAGATTTTACGCTAAATGACAAAGAACGTTGAACATTAATCTACATATAAGCTGTGGGTATGGTTAAAAATAAAAAAATATTTAAGGAAAACTCCTGTACATTAAAGTTGTGGTAACTGTATACATATCAATCATTTTTTATGTCTTTTTTATTATTATTCTTACAAGTTTAACTAAGCCTGAGGTGGCTAAGTTAATCCTGACTGATATGTACACAATTGTTGGAACTTTAGTGTACAGGAATTCTTTAAAAATATTTTTCAATTTCAACCTGATGGTTTGTACCTAAGTTGTATTTTCTTTAATTTCGACTCCTTTCTTGCCTATTGTGTATACGAAGACCTAAACCAATGGTAGAAACGTTTCTTCCTTCAAACAATAGTAGTAGTAGTAGTAGTAGTCTCTGTTTATCATTTAGTCTATTTGAGTAATGCTTAGAAGTATAACTTATGGGAGTATTTATCCTAACGACTAGGAATAACGTTTAGTAATTGGGAATAGGCTACGTGCAGTTCTAGACCAAGACATTCAAGACTCAACGAGACCTTCGAGACCCAGAAGAATTTTCAAGCTTCTCAAGAACTAATTTCGGAGGTAATTGTTTAGAAAAGTGGCGACATCAACGATTTCAACAGCTTTGAAGTATGTTAGGAGTACATTCCGAAGTGTTCTGCTGTACGAACATACTCGTTATTCAATCTTAATTTTCAGTATCTAATTAGTAGGAGTAATTTAGATATCTCAAGTTATAGCAAGCATGAGAGTCGGGATGCTTGCAACGTCGTAAGCTCAATACTTTTACAATCTCAGCATGTGTGCGTGATCCTCACTCATCTGTGACGTCAAATGCACATCAGCAACCATATAGACTGCTCGCGAGCAGTTGGTTGCCTAGTTGCTCATATCTGAATTATAGCACAAATTCACGCCTTCGCGCGTGTCAGGTTGCGACTCATGCAAGCATCAAGTTGCCTGTTGCTAGAAGCACTTGAATTAGAACCAAAGCACAAAGCGTTGCACGCGGAGAGTTCGCCCCTGAAGCCAAGTACGCGTCCTCTTCGTTTGAGGGCGAATCTCCACAGGCGCGAATGGAATGTGTGCATGATTGCCCTGTTCATGTCTGTGGAGATTGAATAAATGGGATCTGCCTTGATTAATTACTGGTCTCGTAATTTATCCCAGACCAATTAGGACAATTACTTTTTGGTCTAGGAACCTTAGCCTTGAAAACAGAATCGGGACAGCCTAGAGCATCACGCAGCGAGAAGTAATGATCTGGTTTAATTTAAAATAGTTTAGGGGATAATAGAAGGTTCCAGAACGAAAAGTAATGGGACGGATCGGTCTGCGATAACTTAGAAGGCACTGCAGGATTTGTTTAGGTTACTTTGGAAAGCAACTACAACGGACAAGCAATTCTATCGCAACTGCTTGTTAGTTTTCCCTTCGTGACACTCACGAATGCCAGAATTCGTGCTATAGCCCATGCTTCACAGCGTTTTAGCGATTTCTCGTACACCAGAACACTCGGAAACGTGTTCCCCCAAAATCGTTGAAGTTGGAGAGGTCGCCGCAGTCGCAAACAATCACCTTTTCGAATAATATTCGAAGCGATTCGAGACTTCATGGTCTTGTCGTATAACGAATCTTTTCGTGACAGTGATTCGAACACCCATCACTACTCGTGGACGAGTACGCAACGGTACTCACCGAGCAACGAGGCGAACACCATGACGAAACAGGTTCCCAGATAGACGTCGATGGACTTCACGTAGGAGATTTTTGGTAACGCCGCGTTCGTCGAGGACATTAGAGTGGTCATGGTGAGCACAGTGGTTACTCCGAGGGCCACCCGAGCGGGGGTCGCGTTTCGGTTCAGCCAAAAGCTCACCCATGAGATTATGACGATCAAGCCCGAGGGAATGTAGATTTGAATCAGGTAGTAGCCCATCGACCGTACGAACTGGATCTCGCAGGCCAGCCGCGAATAATTGCCTACGATTAAAAGATCGACAGTTAGGATAGGGGGACGGAGAGGCGCCATGAAATGTCTCTTTTTAATGTCTCTCTTTCTCTCTGCCCTTTTCTATGTTATTATTTTGTTTTCTCGGGTTCCCTCCTGTATATCTCTCTCTTTCTCAGACGGTTCCATTTCACATATCCCCTTTTCGTCGTCTCTATCACCGTCATCGACTACTCCAGGCCGGGAAAAGGGGACTCGTAGCTTACGAGCGACTCTCCACCTTCTTCCACACTCCGTCTCTCTCTTTCCCTCTTTCAACGCTCCTTTTCGTTGCACGAGGCGAGTGTACGCGACCCACGAGGGCTGGCGAGATGTTAAGCAAAGTTCGTGCCGTTAATGGATCCGTGTTGCACGTCGTGTGCTCGTACGGACGGCCATATTAATTTCCTCCACGCTTCGAGGAAAAGTCATCAGCGTTGGACGACTCCGAGCGTTCCGTGAAGAGCGATGGAGAAGCAAAGGACTCATACGAGGAAACCAACGCTAGGGACTTTCCCTTGTAACGGGAATTGAATTAATGTCGCATGATTGTACGTGTAAGCAGCAATAAAATACTGTAAAATGGAGTTGCTTTACACTTTATGGGGTATCTATATACCAATTCTGATATGGATTGGGTATTGTTTTATGTATAGTGAAAAAGATGGATTAATCTTTTTCATGTTTTGGTACAAAGACACTTCGTAAGGTGTAAAGTAACCGCATTTTACAGGACGGAGAATGGAAAGTCTTTCTTGGGTAAGCGGAGCTTCTGTGTTGGGTTAGGTTTGGGTTGTATTTGTCCAAATATTAACGTCGTTTTTGCAAGATCTCCGACTGGACGAGAATGATATTAGTGATGGTATTAGGACATGTTTAGAAATTGTTGATGTAAACGGCGCTAGTGTCGCGTTCCGCTTAACTTCCACAGTTCTCTTCTCACAAGGGCACATTCGAATCTGATGTAACCCATTTGGATAAAAATTTTGCATATGTGTAGTAAATGTGTAATACTATGGATGGACATTTAAGTCTCAATTATGCTGTTCCCAACTTCATATTTGGTTGAAAGGGGTTTCAATGCTGTTTCCCAAATATTATTAAATTTTGCAAAGATCTTCAATCTCGAGGTTCTCATTAAAACTTGAAATTTCACGTAGCTTATTATTTGCATGGTAAGTTACTACTATACTAAATATTTTATGTTCATGAATGTCATTTTTGTTTTTGAGCCTTTCAAATTTACTAATGCCTAATCTAAATCTAGCCTACATTATTTCTGAGATTATCATGCAATCTTAATTTCTTAAAAATTAAAGTAGGTGTTTAGTAACAGATAATTGAGAAACATTGACGCGAGACTAACGAGTATATGACATACAACTACACTTACGTAAAATTTCAACCAAATCAAAATGAAGTAGACTTGGAGATTCCCTTGCGAGAGGGAAATGCACACAAAGTTTGTCCATTGACGAGGTGTGTCAAGAAACATCCCCTCTTACGGCAGGTACTCCTCAAGAAAGGACACTCATTCTCCATACTGTATCGCGTGTGTTCGATGAAACCGCAGCGGCAGCAAGACGGAAAAAGCGTGACGATAAATCGACGCTGATAGAAAATCGAGTTGCTTTCGCCAGTTCTTTTTAGGCAGACATGCAACGATTTATAGCTCGTCTTGCGACGGATCGATGGAAGAACCCATTCGAATGGGGAAAATTGGATTGTTCGCAATCCTCATTGCTCGTCGCTCAGTGACGAACGGTATTAGCTTTGACTGTGTGAAACATCAAAGAGGATAAGACGAAAGGAATAACGACGTCGCAACTTGAAGTGAGATTATTTGCCGAAGGCCACGACGAATGAGAATGTCTCAAGGACGAGATTTGAGGAATTTTCGCAATTGATCTGCAATTTGACTGCGATGATTTATACGTCACGTTACGAGATCATTCAGGATCTCTGTAATTATTGGAGGGGAGTATTCTTCATTTTTTTTATGGCAAATTAAAATAGAAATATATGTGACGTTGTTAAGTTTATTAATTGAATGTTTCGAGTAGTATGGTCTTTAGGAAATATAGTATTTGAATTAAGAATTCTATTTGGTTTTCGTCCTAACATCATGTTGTTTGCCCAAATATTAGAGCTTGAAGAAACCCTTTACGACTTTGCATACTGATTGCTTCGTACGAGGACTTTAACATAGTTTATGCAATATCCAACATTCTTGGATTATCGGTCCATTATTGCCGTTTGTTCCTAACACAGATCAGGTCAAATATTATTCCCATTTTTGCATAAACGCGACTGCCGTTGCAAAGTACTATAGCGTTTCAACTATCGGAGAAAGTTTACTCCATATCCGCAAATGAACTCCCCACGTTAAACTTAGAAGTCATAATCACTCCCACACCGACGGAGTAAGTTTTGAAACCGGAGTAAGTTTGAGATCCCAGTTAGTCTTGTTCTGACATTAAACTAGTCTTGCTCCGAAAATATCACATATTCTGTGAGTTGAGCTTCGTTCCGATATTATGGTTTGCTTAAAGTTTCGACTGTGTATCTTTGAGGGTATATTCGACAATCTAAATCTTGTTCCTAAACTAACTAGGTACAGTAACCGAAATTTTAATCACGTAGACAAGGCTGGCCTTGTTTTTTCTTTTTTTTAAATCTTTGGTAGATGTGTTGTATTCTGGTGAAGAAGGTAAGCTATTGACTCGAGGATTTAAAAAATTAACAAATGTCTCTGACGCGATTTCGAGTTTTGAAATATACAAATCTGCATTGTTCAAAAATCGAAAAATTTGTATTTTTGCTTGTTACAAATTCCAAGAGAGAATATATAATTGTGAAACCAAATTTCGAAGCAATTTGTGTGATTTATTACTATAGAGGTACTTTAATGTAACAAAATGACGAATACTTGTGTTTAATCTAGAGTTATAAATAATTAAATGTGAAGGCAGAGAATTGATTTCTGTATCTAATAATTTTTAAGTACATTTGTAATCTATTAGAATAAGATTGAAATATATATATATATATATATATATATATATATATATATATATATTCATAAATAGTAATGGTCATTATGTTCAGAATTTAGGACGTTGGTTATTTGGTAACTAAATGTCGAGTAAATATTTATATAATTACAAGTATAAATGATTGGATGATATACAAAGGAATAGAATTAATTTCTACACCTAATAAAACGAACGTCTGGACTTATTAAGTTTGAACAACTGTAAAGTTTTTACTGATATAAACCTTGCATAGAAAGTAACTGTGATTTGTAAGTAATCTGTAATTTGATACTATTTAATAGAATGCGATTAATAGTGTCATTGAAGCCCATCAAGGAGGCTTGAAGCTACACATCGATGTTAGAGATAGGAGAATAGAGCAAAGCTATGAGAATTGATCACTATTTTGTGATCATAAACAACACCTCAAACAAGCATACCCCACAGAATATCATTAAATATTCAATTCTAGCTTGCAATTTAGCGAGAGAAAAATAAAATGTTTAATTCACCTTAAACAATTTGTATCTTCGAGTTAATCCGAACATCCAAGCCGTACTTTATAAAACCACATCATTAGAAGTTATACTATTCGAAATCTAACACATCGCAAAACTTGGTACAAGCGAAACGATTAAGAATCCAACATCGCGCGAAAGTCGATGGTAGTCGATGAAACATCGCAGAGAACTCGATGGCAGGAGCGAAGATGGCGGAAGTCGTACGTGACATTCGTGTCGTTTCCGAGTAACGATTCAACGTTTCCCAAAGCAAGCAACAGCGAACCTAAATCGCTCGGTAACATCCACCAGGCTCGTGTATCCGCACGGAAGACGAGATCGCGAGAAAGAGAGAGATACTGATCGATCGATCGACGATTACCGAATGTAGTAACGTCCCTTACGAGCGACATCGCGGCTGCGGACATCGGATAGCGCTCACGTGTCTCTCCACCTTACCCATACCGTTAAAAGCGAGGGTTGAATTATTTTGGTTTGTTGGTGGGGGTGGGGTTCTATTCATACGTTACCGGTAGTAAGACTAATCTCCATGGCTCGTTGACGGTGACCAAGGACCTTGAACTGAGGGAGCGAGACCTCGTGGCTGACACCGACGCTGTCCGGGCCCTCGTTCCACTTGTATCGGATGTCCCTCATCGTGTATCCGACTGAAAAAATAGAGAGACCCCCCGCGGTTGGTACGTACCTTCGCGGAAGCCCTCAAACGCGTTTCAGCTCCGAGGGGGCCTCCACTTACCTCGCACCCCCGTCAAACACCCCAACAAGTCCGCGCTCTTACTCTCTCTCTCTCTCTTTTTTTAATTATTATTATTCCCTCCATTTTTCTCTCCCATTCATGTTCCTTCTATCTTTCTCTGTCTTTCCTTTCATGTTCATTCCTCCATTCGTGTCTTACATTCTATCTGTCTCTCTCTATCTCTCTGTTCGTTTGCTTAATCGTAACATCTCTATCGTGAGAGAAACGTTTCATCCCTTTAAAACAGGAATGCGAATAAAAATCAAACGAGCGTCAGAGAACGTGCGAACGGAGTTTCTTAACGTATACATGTATATATAAATGTACATATATATGTATATACATATACCAGTTCGTTCATTTGACTATTTTCCTTTAGGTGTAGTGGTCGACTTTCGTTTCACTGAGAGCCCGTCGTGTCGGTTTGATTCTGATGTTGTGGATGGTAACGTCGGAGATTGACTCGGTACTATTTTTCGCGACCGTTTCACGTCCGCTTTCGATCGTTAATCGTTAAACCGGAGAATAGACTTAGAATGATTCTTCGATTGTTTATTAACGAACGATGTCGCTTCGAAATAGTACGTCGTCGACCCCCAGACCGTGATAAAGGACTAAATCGGGAAGCTGATGGATTTCGTATGACTTGGGAAGTATGTATTCGTCCTTTGTTCCGTGGTTTATACATATACGCCGATGAAGTCGAAATTAGTCGATCGGTCGATTTTGGTCGGATGAATTAGCCCCGGGGACGCATTCGTCCTATCGGGTAAGCTCTCCCTTGATCGGAAATAATCGAACGTGTTCGCGGTATAGCAATTACACGGTGAACGGTGCATATTTGGTGCAAACTAATAAACAAACAAAAAAAGAAAATGTAAAAAGTACAGAAAAAGAATAAAAGAACGAAACGTTAAACGAAAGTAACGCACGAATCGTTCGAGAACGATGTGATATTCCCACACATGCCGAACCGTTGGCGGCGTGTACAGGCGTGCGAACGTCGGTTATAGCAAAGACAGTTCACGTTCATTTCGTCGTTTGCCCGAGCCTCTGGACGAAGTTCTGAAGGAAGAACTAATAAGAGGGGGATATCTACCTGTAGATAGGTGTATGGTTGAATGTCGTTGCCTGTGACCGAGCACGCGAAACTGCGGTAGTTCCACCTCGTTCGAGATGCCGACCGACTGTAGGCCGGCGTTCCATTTGTACCGAATATCGCGCATTGTGTATCCAACTGCCGGGAGAACAAGAACACAAATATCTTCGCTCTAACATACAATAATTAGACACTCAAGTTTTGTGTTTAGATAGGTTTTTGGGCTTCGGGAATATAGACGGGTGTTATCGAGGGTTAGAGAGTTCAGGGGAATCGGAGATGGGTAGAGACAGAAGCAACAATTTAACGAGTACCCTATATACCGCTTCTTGTTTTCTTACTTTTCTGCTTATCCATTGGTGTAACCGATTCCGTTCGCTAGTCTATCCTACCCATCTACGATTTCGACGGCTTAGGGTACGTTTTGCTGCAAAAACCGTTTGGCATGTTCGAGACAGGTATTGTAATCCGATCGAGACGACTAAATCACCTCAGCCGATGTTGACTCGATCGAACTCGATGACACTTCTACTTGTTCTGCGTGTGCAGCATTTAAAATTCATTCTTATGGACGCATAAGAAGTACTTTATCGGACCCCGTTCAGCACCGTGGCTGTTGACTCTCAAAACATCTCGTCGGTTTGTCAATGTTATCGTTCGATAATTCACTCGTCATACGTCCATAACCGTTCCGTGAAGTTTGATGTACGGTATAGCGCGAGCGAGCGATCGAGGCCGCGTGACGCGATTATGCTATCAAACGCGCGGTTGGAATTCCGTATTGAGGTTTACATGTGGAACGGAGATGGGCGAAACTTTCTCTATTTATTTTTGTTTTTATTTACTCACGTTTTTATTTGGGTTTATATTTTATTCTCGTACGGATAAAAGTTTCATATTATAAATAAAAGATACCAGTTGTTTGTATGTTGTTCGTAAAAAAATATGAAAGAAATATTGCGCAATGCAGAAGTTAAAATTCAATCGTTATCTGTTATTTGAATAAAATGTCGCCTATCTGTGAAGTGGAATCAGCGATTCGTTTTGTTTTGTTCGTTCGAAACAGGTTTGGGGAACAATGATTGTGTTTTCCCTGAATTCGGAAATCCCGTTTGAAAATTTTCGTGAATTTAAGTAATAAAATGTAGTTTTGGAGAAATGGGAGCGTCGGATCTTTCCAGAGCACTGTTTTACTTCAATTTGTTAAGGAATTCAACTAAACAAAAATGTAACGTATCGTTCTATACATTTTTTGGGTTTCTGTATGAGTAGTTAATAGGTTAAGGCCCGTTATGGCTATACATGCACTGATAGACATCGTTATATAATGAATTATATACTTTGTGTTTGACAAATTATAAAAAGAGAGATTGTAGTAAAATCATGATTTTTATTTTACACACAAAGTAAGTTTTATAAGAAAAGAAAAAAAGATAAGATATTTAAGGAAGAGCCCTTCTTTTTTTATATCTCGTTAAGACTCATTAGGGCAAGATTCTTGAAAAAGTGTAACAGAGGAAGAAAAATAATGACGATTCTTACATGAACATCTTTGTGAGATGTTCGCAGCAATAATTGTGTTGTTCTTCATTATAATGCCTTCTAGAAAGTCAGACATCTTTTGTTTGCATAATTTGATAACCATGTCATTTAAGTATCTAATTTAGTAATAACATCGTCTATTGGTGTATGTGTTGCCTTAATTAATTATGAAACACTTCTGAAGCTTAATTAACCTTTTTTTTTAATTAGTATAGTATATATACTTTTTTTTGTTAATTATTAGTTGTTAATTACTTATGTAATTTTAACACTTAATCTGCGAGGCAATTTGGAGAAATTCATATGCTTTACTAAACTATATTTGCACTCTAAATATATATCAGATATAAATACCCTGATCAGATATCAAAACTTTTGCTCAACTTTCACCATATGTAAAGCTCCTGTAGAAAAATGACAATAGTTTTTAATCAAATTAGAACTTTAACTTTCTTTATACAATATAGTGTATACATAGAAGCGTATATTATTCATTCAGTTTCCAGAAATCGCCTTAAAGAGCGTGAAATAATTTTAATGCACAGAATAATCCATCGCCTGTGGTTAACACGTTAAATACCAAGTCTATATTGTTTAAAGTTTCGTTTATGCTATACTCTACCGTCTAGTAAAGAGAATTTTACGCAGTACGCGAACTATAAACAAAGGATAAATAAACAAGAAGCGAGGCTGAACGAACCATATAAAAATTAATGAATTGAACTTCTTGCAAACATAGTTTTGAACTTTTACCTAGCAACTCTGTAAATTCCTGCTTTCTATGTCGAGAGATAATAGCCAATACAATGTCTATTACAACATATAAGAAAAAAGTTAGTTAAAGCTTTCGCAGAAGACGAAATAAAATGTCAAAATAGTGCATTGAATGTAGTAATGGTAATTCAAAAACCTTTTTTCCAAAATAGCGAAAGTGTAGACAAAAAAGTTATTATCTTTCGCAAGGCTAGGTAGTATAAACCAATCATGATAAACGGAAAGTCTAACGTCAGTCTCCATGAAACAAAGTGCACCTTTCGGTTAGCTTCGATACTTTATTTAAAATTTATTTAAAATTTATTTAGGTGGTAGCGCTGCGTGCTAACGCAAATATTAAATAAACGAAAACAGATACGCATGCGAATCTGAATATATTGATAAGTTCTCGATACCGTTTTTCTATACAGTTTGAGTTTAAATTTAATTTCAAATCGTGAGTTCTCGCGCCAATGCATACATGTTGAATGAGAGGAAACAGAAATACATACAAATTAATATACGTTGACAAGTTTTTCTATGCAGCTTGAATTTAATTTTAATCTGAAATTGTGTGCCTCAAAGAGTTAACGTGTTAACGTACAGACGACTAAAAAAGGACCCGTGGATCAAGTGTTAAATTACAAAATCGAGAAAGCCTCCAGAAAAATCCATCGGAAGGTCGCACGCGACGTTCAGAGGGGTAGGTTCTCCATACCTGATCCTGACGACCTTGCGGATCGTTTGGTCGTTGGCTGGCGAACAGCGTGGCAAATTTTCGCGATCGATCGGAATTCGCACGTATTTATGTTCCTCTAATTCCACGCCGCGGCCTCGAGCGCGCGCATACCGCGCCCCGAGAAACATTCCTCCGTAACTGAATCTTAGGTGATTACGATCGTTACACCGCATTCCAGGCACCAAAGTGGCATTCCGTCGCGGTGGCGGCCACATTGCGCAAACATCGTCGAAACGTGGATTAAGCGATCCACGACCGAGTATTCGAGATTAACTGCTTTTGTTTTTGGAGCACGGAAATACTATCGTCTCGCCCCCTTCCCACCGCCACCCCCCTCTCCCGTGCCGTTTGCTCATTTTCGACTGGCAAATGCCCCGCCGCAATTCCCCCCGCCGAATGCTTTACCGCCCCCGACAGATTTATCTGTACAATGTTCGCGGTTCCGTGAACGCCCCCTCGCTATCCAAAAGCTCCGGCGATTCTCGTTGCGCCGCGACGCGTGGTTCTTTTCAATGTTTAACGAGTAATTTGTGACGGGCGTCGTATATCTCCGCCGGTGCGGAATTTCGGTCACCAGGAAGATTCAGATCGTTTGGGAATTATGGCAGTTCGATACAAACGCTGGGCAATTCGTTGTCACGCCCTGGCTTCATTGTAGCGCGTAACGGGACTCGAAGAGGGAAACCCATGTGTTTTGATTTTCACTGGTAATTGTAGTTTCAACGGGACCCGACTTTCGGGTGAACAAGTTTGAGCAACCGCAGGGTATGTAAATAAAGGGGGATGGTAACACTTTACTTGATAAACTGCTGGTTTCCTTCCTTTTTTATAATTCCTTTTTTATGATCAATGATATTTTAAATATTCTTGGAAGTCTCTAAGATAGTTATAGTCCAAACAACATTTACTGGTTAATATAATTTGTGAAATTAACAAAAAAATGCGAAAAGTGGGTAAAAGTATAGAAGCAATAAGTATTTGTACGATTCTTATGACGAATCATTTACAGTAGAGTTTGTAACGTAAACACATTAGTTTATTGCTCCGTACGAATTGGAAAACATCAAATTTCCAGTAAAGTACTTTTAAAAATGGCTCTAATAGAGGAATTGAAGAAGATCGCACTTCGAGTAACTAATAATTTAGTTAATTTAATGCTTCGAAGAGTTACAATAATTATAAAATCAAAAGGAAATCCCACGAAGGAAGTATTATATACTTGTAAATTAATGTAAATTTCTTTTTCCTTTTAATGAAGTTTAAAAAATTATACAGTTGTGCGAATACTTATTGCTTCAATATTTGTATCGATTAATTGTTTTTTTCTTGTTAATTTCGCAACTTACATAAATAGCTATTTTTTTGTAATCTATCTATTCTAGAAATGTTTGAGAATATGTAGAATGTCATTGTTTATAAAAAATAAGTTAATAAATTACAATTTTACACAGTTTTTTGGGGAATTGATCGATGTACGAATAGTTTCTACATCCACTGTACATAGAAATGCGTGACAAGACTTTTCATTAAGAGACTAAAAAAATGAATTCCAAAAGCTGAGACAATAATGAAAATAAATCTGGATAGAATTCGTGAATTTGGTGACGTTTAAAAATTAAATACTACGACAAATTTTAAGTTATCCAATTATCAATAGTCTCGAGATAAAATTTTAACTTCATTGACATTTTCACGAGTTTTAATCTGGTAGCCAACGTATTAAAACTCGGATGAGAATATTTTACTTAGGATATAATAATATTAAATCTATTGATGTCTCATTTGCACCTATTTATATCGTAATTGAATGAATAATTGGAGTCTTAAAGATATTTTTTTCAATTGAATGCAAAAATATTTTACGGGCTACTAACTTGGATAATGCATAAAATAATTATATATAATTTATATATTGTGTATAAGAACTGTATATAGATGGTTGAAAACGGTCATTTGACTGGTCGTGGTAGGTTTAGCGTTAATCTAGGCTAACATTAATTTCTAAATTCTATTAGTAGGTGTATGAAAAGCCTTGTCTGCTTCTTTTAATTGAGTATAGTACGTAGACTACAATAATAACACAATTAATAGGTTAGAGGAGGTA